AGACCCGAAGACCAGCTGGCTGGTGGGAAGCAGGACATCTCAAAACTGGCAGCACAGTAAGAGGTAGCATCTTTTTCTTTTCTGAGCTTCTGTTTTGTTGCTTTCAGAGAAACAGAAGCTCACAAAAGAAATGACACGGAGATCTGACCTGGGGTGTGTGTGCCAGCAGAGATGGCTCTGCATGCAACCTCTGGCATGCATGCCATAGGTTTGCCATCATGGTTATGGTGGATCCAGGCAATCAACCCTCCCCCCCACAACTAATAAGACTTCGCCACCCAAATATTTTATTTTTGAGCTCCATTCAACAGTTGCAACCAGTTCTTCAGAAATATCACTGAGTAGAGCGCAGCAATTCTACCTGTGCCAGCAACATAGAAATAAAACACCCAGGGCTCCATTTTCTGCCAGTGATATATTTTTGGCACATTTTGGCATCCAGTTAGGACTCATTGTCTCTGAAAGAAAGCTGACAAAATAAGCTCACTTCTAATTTGTCATATTTACATATTGCACTTCTGGGTAATGTTACATTTCTCTCTCTTTCTCTCTTAGTATATTTCCTCAGTGTTTTGAGCCTTCACCAGGCAAGTCTGCCTTAGGATGCCATGAAGTCAAGATAAGCAGCAGTCTTTCAATAAATAATGGTTATTTTATAATGCCTAGAATCCCAATTAGGTTACAAGCAACCCAATGCCATATGAAAAATGCCCTTTTAGGACAAGTGGGGATTAGGATTTGAGAGTAAATAAAAGATGCTTTTATGGGGATCTGCCAGTCAACAGATACCATCAGAAAGAAAATTGGTGAGGTTGCTCCTTATTATCTTAACATTCTCACCTAAGATGCTGTGTACCATATTTGTTAACCTGGATCATTTTCTATTTGGATGGATACATTGCCATACAAAAAACTAGGCTGCTGTAACTCATCATGTTAATTTTGATAGAGTGCCTATAGAACTTGATTTCTCCCCCTTTTTTTCTTTGTCCTTTCTCACAAAATCCTTCAAAACATTAACATCTCCTTTGTAAATCCAGTGTAGGAAAATTATCCAAATCACTCTGGTTTGTTATTTGCATGTCCCTTTTAATTAGTAAAATATCAGCAGCTTTCATTTGTATATCTAATATATCAAATTTTCCAGATCATTCTTGTAGCCTGTCATTTTAATATTCTAATCAATTTCAGTCTTGTCCAGTAGAATGTGTTCTTCTTCCATAACATTATTTACAAATGGTCTGTCTATAATGGCAGACTTTCTTAAAATTAACTTATGAGTCAACTGTTCACTAACACAGCCAATGTTATTGTGCTCCATTTTGCATTAGCAACACAATTGATCAGTGGAATGACTTGCCTCCAGAAATTGTGGGTACTCCATTACTGGAAGGTTTCAAGAATAGACTGAATAGCCATTTCTCTGGAACGGTATAGGATCTAGAGGATTGGTCTATAAGACGACCTTCCAATCTTATTATCACGTGAAGTGTTAATATCACTTTATAATGCCTTGGTAAGGCCACACTTGGAATACGGCATTCAGTTTTGGTCACCACGATGTAGAAAACATGTGGAGACTCTAGAAAGAGTGCAGAGAAGAGCAACAAAGATGATTTGGGGACTGGAGACTAAAACATATGAAGAACGGTTGCAGGAACTGGGGATGTCTAGTTTAATAGAAAGAAGGACTAGGGGAGACATGATAGCAGCCTTCCAATATTTGAAGGGTTGCCACAAAGAAGAGGGAGTCAAGGTATTCTCCAAAGCACCAGAAGGTAGGACAAGAGGCAATGCCTGGAAACTAAT